CAGCCTCCACACTCTGTGGAAGTTCAACTGTGCAGGGGCAGGGTGCTGGTGCTCTGACATGGTCTGTATCTGTCCACTGGGTACACAGGCTCTGGGGTTTCTCAGGTAGTACAGGCCAAGTTCAGCCCCTACCTATGTTTTGCCTGGGGCCACCCTTTCTGAGCTATCAAGAAATCTGAGATGGCTGCTACTTGTGCTGGGCTTGGAGATACCCAGGAGAAGCCAAGATGTGAATCTAGGCTGGTTGCTGAGAGTGCCTACCCTGCAGCCACTTAGCAAGGCGAGGGCTCACTGAGGCTGGCTGTTGTATGTTTGATAGGATTTAGGAATCTCTGAAGCATGAGCCAATACCAGCCATTTATATGGAAAAGCAGATTGCACGGGCCCATAAGTTGGGTGGAATGGAGTCTCTGGGGATCTCCAGGGTGGGACAAACAGTGTTAGCCAGCCTGCTAGCTCTGTGGATCTGTGGAGTAGGGCTCAGAAAAGGGACAATGCCCTCTGCCTGCTCTGTCCTGCAGCTCTTGCCTCAATGCCTGACACTTCAGTTTCCCCCTGCATACTAATAGTGCCTTTCAAGTTGCTACCTGGGTGCTATAGTTCAGAGGGAGTGAGTCTAAGTCCATGTGTGTGTTCTTTAAGAGGAACTGCTTGAGACTCCAGATGTTTCATCTACTGACTCAATCCACACTGGTTTTTGCAGCCAAAAGTTATGGGGACTTATCTTTCTGGCACTGGAACTCTGGGTTGGGGGCCCTGGTATGGGGCTGGGACTCCTCTATCCCAAGATATTCCCTTCTGATTTTTTATACACCACACGTGGGTATGGGACCAGCTTGTTCTATGTCTCTACCCATTCAATCAGTCTGGCTGGATGTGGTTTCTTTAATTACGTAGTTGTCAGACTTCCATTCAACTCAATTTCTGATGGTTCTGAGTGACAGTTGTTCTATATTTTAGTTGTAATTTTCATGTGCTTGTGCAAGGAGGTGATCTGTTTTTACCTAGGCCACCATCTTGACCAGAAGTCAAGAATCAATTCTCTCTTGAACTTTTATTGCTTCAGTAATACTAATGTGACTATCCTTATGCAGACATCTTTAAACACTTCCGCAAAGGATGTGTACATTTTGCATGTTCATGTTATTGCTATATTGTCTTCCAAAAACTAAATTACTTTTCACTAACTTAGACATTCCCCCAAGGTGCCCGAATATACCTGATTAATGGACTTTTCTACTTTTTGTCAATAAGATAGGAGAAAAATTTTATCCTATTTCTATATATATTTTTGATTATGTGTGAAGATGGTGACCAATTAAATTAATAGGCAATTTGTAATTTATCTGTGAACTGCTTCTTTCTATTCTTTGGCCTTTTTTCTGATGGTAGTTTTTTCATTATTTGCTTATATGAGGTCTTTAGTTACCTCCTCAGGCCTTCCTCAAACTTCTATCTAAAATAGTAACTGAGCTGTTGATCCTCATGTCAATCTGTTTAATCCTTGGCAAAGAACTACCATTGGCTATTTTCTCATTTGTTTATTGTTTTCTTTATTTTAGAATATAAACTCATCTATCTTGTTCATCACTCTTATCTCCATCACATAGATCCAAGCCTGACTCATAATAAGCATTCAGATATTATAGAATGAATGAACAAAAGAATAATAGAATCAGCCTATGTATGTCATAAACATTTAATTGTTTTCAGTTTGTATGGTATTTTTTCCCAGGGGAAGCTTTACATTTTAATTTATCTAAATGTATCAGTATTTTTCTTTATGTCTTTTGGAGGTTTCTTGCTCCAAGTTTATAAATAAATTTACCCATCCTCCTTTGAAACCTCTATTGTTCCATCTTTTATATTCAAACCTTAGACCTCTGTATCATTTATTGTCATGTAAAAAATGAAGGATTTAGTTTTAATTTTTCTCAAAATAGTTGGCTAGCTAATTATCATTCACTAAACCACCTTTCTTGTATGGGTTTAGCATAACAGCAAACATAAGCTACATTTCTATGGATTAGGTCTATTCCTGGACTTAATCAAATTTTTTTAATTACTGTAGATTTATAACATGTTTTAATAGTTGTTGAAGGTGACTCTCCCTCATTTCATTTCTTTTTTAAATGGCTAAGGTCATATGTTTATTTTTTCCAGATAAATTTCAGGATCATTTTTGCTAAGGATGAAAAAATTATCTTAAAATATATTTTAGAGCCTTTGGTTTGTAGGCTCAGTGGATTGATTGCCAGCTTGTAAACCAAAGGATTGCCAGTTTGATACCCAGTCAGGGCACATGCCTGGGTTGTGGGTCAGGTCCCCAGAAGCAGCCGTGCAAGAGGCAACCACACATTAATGCTTCTCTCCCTCTCTTTCTCCCTCCCTTCCCCTCTCTCTAAAAATAAATAAATGAATTATTTTTAAAAAGTTGGGAAAATTTATTTTAGAGAACTAAGTAATAATATGCATATATGGTATACATAGTATATGTATTTTACAGTTTTAGAAATTTTTATCTCATGAACAGAACTGATAAAAATTTAGTTTGTTCAGGCACTGGCTGGTGTAGCTCAGTGGATTGAGTATGGGCCTGTGAACCAGACAATCACGGTTTGATTCCCAGTCAGGGCACATGCCTGGGTTGCAGCCCAGTTCCCAGCAGGGGACACACGAAAGGCAACCATAATTGATGTTTCTCTTCCTCTCTCTTTCTCTTCCCCTCTAAAGATAAATAAATAAAATCTTTTTAAAAATTTAGTTTGTTCAGAGTTCATGTTATTAAACAAGTTGTTCCTTAGGGAAATGGGTCAATGCATATGAAAATACTTAGCATCCTTTGAGTATAGGTATTTAGATTTTAGCTTAGATATATTATGCTAGAACTTTTATAGTTCTAGGCATGATTTGAGTATGGTGAACTATTGACAAGTTACCCTCAGTCTTAATCACCTATTTTGCATATGTCTTACAGGAGATTAGATACAAAGAAATTTAGCCCTAGTTTTTATTTTGCTTCTCATGAGCTGTTTAGCTCTTGACAATTGACTTAAATTGAGTTTCTGAACCTCTGCTTTATCATCTGTAAAACAAGCATATAATGGTCATTCATTCACTCATCAAATAATATTTTATTTATCTGCCTACCTTTGAGAATTTCAAGGATCAAGTACCAAAATTCTGGCAATTTTTTTAACATATTAAGGTCTTATGTTAAACATTGAACCTTCAAAACTTTTCATTTGCTTATCTTCAGTCCCTTAAGCCATAAGCCAGTAAGAACAAAAGAACAGGCCAGGAGACTTCCATAAATTTTCAAAGCTGGAAGTAGAGAAGGAAAAACAAGAACTTGGCACCCAGTACCTCTGAAGGCTAGTGTTGAAAAAAGGAGGGTGAATTGGAAGTCTAAAAGCAGAGTCCCTCCCCTACCACGCTGAAAGTTGAAAACAAAAAGAGCTGTAAGGATGCGGAATGAAGATGATGGTGTACTGACAGGGAAAGTTGGGATTAGGACTGAAGTAGTGATAGAGTCATAAATCTTCCTCCATAATAGGAAGTCAAAAGATAATACAATTAAAAAAATTAAGAAATACAAGAATATGCATGCTATTAAGAAGATAACTGAAGATGAATCTACACATCTTCAGTAGCCACACGCCTGCAGTACCCTCACAGCATTGGAAGTGTAGGCCATGTGGAGGACTACAGCTTCTGTCATTTTAGTGTGAGCCTTAGTAGTACTGTTTCTTGGTAGGCTTTTAAAACTATGTACACATATTGTAGTGACAAAAATTAAAAAGAAAAAAGATTTTATGCTATTGTGAAAAAGTGAGTCTCTCTAGCATAAGACTTGGCATTTGGCATTTAATCAATGCATGTAAAATGGTTGAACAAATACCATTCAATTATTTAGAAAACTCCAATTACCTCTTTGTTGTTAGTACTATATAGGAATTAGAATTAAATAATGTTCTTTAAGGACTGATGACTAATATGTTTGGAATATCACCATGTAAGAAACCAATTTTTTTATTTTTGAGAATTATAAGATGGTGGAAGACTTTTGAATAAAGTTAAAAATAAAATGTCATTTTAAACCTTGAATATATTTCATACTTTTCATCAAGAAATTTTGGGGTTAAGAATACATGTGTTGGTATATGTTTATCGAGATGTGACAGTATTTTCTGTGCCAGAAAATCTCTATGACTCAGCACTAGTTTAGGAGATTGATAATGCTCCCTGTGCCTTTTTTTGTCTTTGAATTGAAACTCAGTCTGCCTCAAGGTAGGCAGTATCAGACAAATCCTGGCACCTAGTTCTTTAATACTGTGAACATAGTAACTGAGTTTGGGAGTTAAGTTACCTCTTCCAATAGCATAATCAGAATGTCAGATGCTAGAGATTTAGTTGTAGTAGCATGATCTCCTATTTGAAGCAAAGTATTTATCCAGAAAGTTTAAAGCTCTGCTAATATTAGGAGTAACTTGTCAATAAACAGGTTGAGTGATTATTCTCCAGGAAGGAGAATGTTTTGCTAATGGAATTACTCTATGGAATTGGGTCCAATATTCATTTGTAAGTGTCTATGAATTTGTTGGGAAAGAAATGAATTTGTTGGGAAAGAGAAATGACCAAGAGATAATATTGTGTGATATTAATGAAGGAACAAATATAATTTCTTTTACTTTGTAAGACACAGGTAAGTTTGACTCATATTGTGCTCACCTCTGTATATGTTGTACTAATTGGTCTAATTTCTAGAACATGTATTTTGGCTTCTTAATCTCACAATTTTATACTCAGAGCTATTGTTTGACTAAGCCACTTTTTTATCTAGTTATGTAAGAAAATAATTTCACTTGGAAATGGTACCTAAGTAAAAGTTTCAAAAATGAAATATTGCAACTGTTAAGGTTAAACATGTAATTGATTTGGGTGTCTTCTGTATAACCAAGTGAATTGAAAACTGTATTTTAAAACTTTATTGTCCCTAGAGTGAATTACTGGAATTTAAACAACAGCAACAGGAGAAAGAAAGAACCAGAAACCACCAGGCTGCACACAGGAGGTATAATGGCTAATAAATTATCATCCTTGGTTAAAAAAATTACCTATAAATTGTTTGCAGTGTTTTAGAAAAACATTATAGTAATATTGACTATAGTTTTGAAATTCATATTATATTTTTAATCTTTATATTATACAGTGTGATATGTGTGTGAGAGTGCCCATTGCTATACACACATGTACATACACATACAGTATCTACTTTTTCTGGGTAGATGGCATTACTTCACACTAGAAAACTGAATGATACTCTCAAGTTATATGTTTATTTATATTATATTTCACTTGCCTTCCATGGAAGAAGGCATCTTCATCCTTTGAGATGATGCTTTAGAATAATTGAACTAGTACAAATGGTGAGATACCCATACTTGAATACAAAAGCTCAGACAAAAATTACCATAAAGTTGTTTTATATTGACTAACATATTAAGAAAAAAATCTTAAAATAGGACCATTAAGGACTTTTTAATAGTGTAAGTGCTCTCTAGTTTATTCCCAATAGCTGACACTCAGTACCCAGTAAAACACCATGTTGATGTTGGGGACAGGGCTAATAGCCACTGTATCTGTCATTATTATGTCAGGATTTTCCTGAAGGGCACTTGGGTTATTTGAGTTAATTGTAGTGTGCTTGAGTGTTTTAGGAGAATAATTTTATTTAAAGGCTCTCATGGTTTAAAGGAACAAATTCTTCTTTTGAAACTTAGTGGTTCTTTTATATGTTTGAATTCCCACTATCAGTAACACATATTTTTAAATTGTGGTAGTTTCATTTTGTGAATGAGACTTTAAAAGGTGTTAATGGACATATTGAAATCAACAACAAAATGACAGTAACCAGAGGGGCAAGGGAAATAATGGGAAAGAAGGGAAATGGATTTTAACTTGAATGAGGGACCCCTGGATGGAGCCACTGAGGGTTCAGATTGAGGGTGGGAGGTGGGCATGGGTAGGGCAGGTATGGGGAAAGTGGTGCTGGGAAAATGGAGACAACTGTATTCGAACATCAATTAAAGAAAAGGGGAAAAAGAAAGAAATTCCCAATTTTATTGTAGTCCTCAACTCTGGATGGTGCCCATATTCTTTTGACTAGATTATACTGCTTCCACTGTCCAGTAAAAATAGTTTTAAAATGTCAAATGTGAATTTATGTGTTCTCCTCCAATTATAAGGAAAAATCAAAATGTTGATGCAGTGGTTAAACCATTTGGTTGGGTAAGAGGACACCATTACTGCTACGTATTTTTTTTGAGAAATAGGCCACAAATTTGTTTAGTCTTTTATAGTTTTTTTTCTCATTTTCTCTTTAAACGTTTTTTTTTTATTTTAAAAAGCCCTGATATTATATGACAGTTGTTAGTACTAGCCAGTTATTTCTCTGGATTTTCGAGGATTGACTGGATAGGAAAGCTTCAAGCATCTTAGAGATAGTAATATGTCACATTAATAAGCCCTGTTGCTAAGAAATTAATCTTCAATAGGCAGCCAATAAGAAGGCAAGTTATCCGATTAGAGGTGGAAAGGATTACTTTTGTTTTATTATAGGAACCTTGACCCTCATTCTTTAGGTTTATTTTCATACTGAAGAATACTTAAACATTAGTGGGGCTATTTATCGGATATTTTCTACACCTTATTTCTATTGATTCTAGTTAAGTATAGATTCAAATTTAATCCATGAGGAACAAGTATGAAGGACACAGGGACGAGAACTAAGGAGGGGTGGAAATGGGAGGGAGGTGGGGAGGACGGGATGGGGTGGGCTGGGATGGAAGAAATAGACAGAAAACTGTACTTGAAAAATAACAGAATAAAAAAAATTTTAAATAAAAAAAAAAAAAAAAGAATCAGGTTTGAGGGCCGATCTGCAGAGGAGCAGAGCAGGCAGCCGGCAGTTCCCCAGCATATATGAACATAAGGGACCAGAAATCCGGATGGTCAGGGAGGATCCAGAGAGTAGGGAGACGTACAGTGGAGTCTCAGGGACTGGAGCAAAAACAGGAGCAGCAAGGACTTTGGCCAGTGCGCAGTCCTGGGGCCCAGTGCTCGGTGCACAGCACCCGGCGCGGTTCTGCAGGCATCCAGCGTACCCGGGTTGGAGCCCAGCACTCCTGACCGGCTCCTGGACCGGCTCCCGGTGCATCTCCGTCGAACTCTCTGGGAGCCCTGGGCCTGCCGAAGGGTCCTTGGGAGAGAGCTGGGTTATCAGCTTCCTTCTTCCCTGGCCAAGCAAGGTTGGGTGCCGAGAAAGACTCGTTTGGGACAGTTTGCAGAGAGGGTGCTGAAGACAAAGGGCCGAGATCAACCGCAGACTCTGTGGTCACCAGCCCCGGAGAACTGAGAGGCACAGTGTGGGGCTCTGACTCCGATAGTCACGGCCGCCCTGTCTGCTCCCCACCCAGCCTGTCAGTGAAGGGAGGTTGGGCGGAGGGCCTGGACTTCCCCCACAGAACTGGGACTGGTAGCCCGAACCTGCAGGAACCGGGCAGCCTAGACCCCAAACCCAGCCAATGGTGGTAACCCCTGGGAGAAGAGCACTGTGAGGAAGTCCTAGATCCCCTTGGTAGGGTGCTGGGGAGAGGCGCCAGTTCAGCACTTGGGAGAGCCCTCGCAGAAAGACCACACTAATCCTCCTGCAGCCTGCTGCAGCCAGAAGAACCGGTTTGGACAGTTTGAAACCAACAAGAGATTTTTTTTTTAAGTAATCTTTTTATTTTTATTATTGTTTTATCTTTCAATACTTTTTTCCTCTTTTTTCTTCTTTTCTGTTTATTCCTTCTTCCTTTCTTTCCAAACGTATCACTTTTTCCTCCCTTCTCCTGCCTTTTTTTTTCTTTACCCACAAGTGACACAAACAACTTGGAACTTCGAAAATACCAGAGCTGGACCCAAGGAAGAGGCTTCCCAACAGTAGAGTTAGAGAAACAAATTTTACTTTGCTATAGCAGAGAAGCCACAAGTTGCTGCATATTTGTATTATTATTATTATTTTCATTATTCTCACTTCTTTTATATTTTAATAATATCTTTGTATTTCTCTTCTTTCTGTATAGGCTTCTTTGCCTTGGCTGGTTGTATTGTATCATTTGACAGGTTTCCCCTGTTCTCTCTTCCACAGTGTATTGCTAATTTTCTATACTTCACGTCACTTGTGTTCCTTTAGCACGCTACCAGAAGTTCTATACCCCCTATTCAGACACATCACATAGAGTCTATCATATGGTTGTTGCTCTAATATTACTGTAAATAATAGCTGTTCTATACAACTGTAAATACTTCACAACACATCTCCCAGATCTTAGCCCACTTCACAGTTTCCTGAATTCTATTACTGTAGCGGTTAACTCTATTTGCTCACACACTGCACCTATTTACTATCTTTAACTCTCACCTTATCCAAGAATCTGACCGACCACAACCTCACTGCTTTCTAGATCCAACTCACTAGCCTTCCCTCTCCAACAAGAGACTTATCTTGTGTCCATCCTCTCTTAAAAGTAGCAAGTTGGGTTGAAGATTATGGTTAACACTATATATAACCTAAAGATCTCCTATCTCTTCTCTACCAGCCTTGACTGTAAATATCATAAAATACTCTCTTGCTGTCATAAACCATTTTGCCTCCCCCTCCAACTGATCACACACACACAAAAAAGGAGTAGGTGGAAACAGAGAATGCCAGGATAACCAAAGGAGACTGCACCACTGAATTTCACAGGCATTCCACCACAGAAGTTCACACCATAAACCCAGGGAATCAGAACAGATCAATTTAAGAAGCTGAGGATAACATGAAGAGTCTCATAAACAATGGGAAGACAAAGAAACAATCCCCAAATGAAAGGACAGGAGGAAGCCTCTATTTCATGCTAGATGAAATAGAGGCAAGTGAACTATCAGATATTGAATTCAAAGCACTGGTTATCAAGAGTTCAAAGAGGTCACAATCAGCTACCAGAAACTACAGGGGAGCTACAATGAACTCACCGCAAACTATATCAACATGAAAAAGGAAATAGAAACTATCAGCAAGGGACAAGAGGAAATGAAGAATACAATTTCTGAATTGAAGAACACAGTTGAAGGAATCAAAAGCAGAATCAATAAAGCAGAAGATTGGATCAGTGAGTTGGAGGACAAAGTAGAAGAATCAGGTCTGAAATAAGTGATCTAGTCTTTAAAAACACTTTTTGTATTCTCAATCAGTTTCTGAAAAGAGTTTGTTTATTTTGTCATTTAGAGTTTATAGTGAGCATTCCTATGTTATCATGAGAATACTCATGCAGTAGCCTCTTAAATGAATAAAGTAGCTGCGTTTGTTCCTGCTGAAAGCAACAGCACAAGCTACATAGTCAGGGGACATAAGAACTCTTCTTCACGGACATTAATTTTATTAGAGTCAAAAAGACAATGTGCTTTCTACTATTTATAAGTTCACATGGCTGAACACTCAACCCTGAGTTTTATAATAGAACATTAATGGGATTCCTCACAAGGTTTTCAATGAATCCTATAATTGTTGAGCTTGAGTGCATCTGCACCTGACTCAGTCTAACTTTCTGAGTAAGAGAAGAAACTTTAAACTCCAGAGAGAAAGGACAGACCATGGAGGTTAAGGACTTGAAAGGAACTGGACCGTGAGCTGAAAACTGGAATGAACTGAATTGATTTATTGAAACTTGAACCATTCTTGAATAACAGTTTTTATCCAAATTAACCCTGGGAAGAAAATCCAGAGCATTAGTTTGACAGCAATAAAATGCATGTATTGTACTTTCTAATACTAGTAAACAAAAATATAAACTGGTACTTTTTTTCCTATTTGAATTCTTATTAGGAATTGAGAAAATAATCTCTTTACCACATATAATCTCTAGCCGACCCCTGCGTGTTCTCCTAGTAACTGATGCTCAAAAGTGAATTGCATCACCTTGCATGAATGACAAGTCACCAGTCTGCAGTGTCTGAGAGAATTGAGAGAGGTGGACAGTGAGCAGT